AGCTGTAGCTACTGTCTAAAACACCAGGTATGTGACAGATATGCGTATGGAGATGAGTAGAAACCGCACTCTCGAGTACATAAATGTGGACCATAAGTCCACCTCACTGAGTCCCCCTCTTCTCTGCCTGACTTACCTTATGATGAACAAAGGATGGCTCCAGGCCTTAATGGCTTTGGAGAATTATAGCACAACCTTTTTCGGGGAATATAGTATATCTCCCCAGGGTACCATTAACTGGCTATCTATTCAGTCGCAGTGACAGAAGAAAGCGTGCTGCTTTTATATATAATTTGACAGAAAGAAATGATAAGATGATCACAGAAAGGTACATGAAGGTTAAGATATTTTACCAAGCTCTATTACCATTACATTACGCAACAAACTTCAGAACTCTGCAGAAGTTTCTTTGTACTTAAAAAAGGACATTTCCATTTCCTTAAATTCTAGCATGCAGTTAAGAGGTAAAAAGATGTGAAATGCAATTACTTCTGCAGCTTGTTCCAGTCTCTGGCTGCAACATACTGAAATGAGGAGCACCAAACAGAACAGTTTACTTTAGAGATTTTTAACTGAATGCAACTGGCAGATCCAAGGTGGGGGAAGTGTTTGCAGTAGATATGTCAGCTATGGGTGAGTCAGACGTAATACAGACTTACATAAGAGAATGATCCAGTGGATTTTGCATCTTCTGTCTAGGGATTTCTGGTATACAGGGTGCAGTTGTGTGTCCTGTAAGGAGTACTGGTGGCTGAGGTCCAGATGATGCATTTCTGCATTCTAGATGATGTCCCCATAGGGTAATATGGGGAGAATTGTCCTCTGTACCAGGGTTAGCCAGGCAGAGGTGGTGTAAGCTGACTTGTTTCTATACAAAAATCCAAGCCTAGGTTTTATTTTAGCTTGAGGATTTTTAATGTGAATAGAGAAGGCTAGAGCAGAATTTAGCCAGAGACCTAGGTATTTGTATGAAGTGACCATGTTGTGCTCTGTGCCATCTTGTGTAGTCATGTGGGGGAAGAGGAGACTCTTCCTACCAAGTAACTTAACCTTGGTTCGGCTGGAATTCATAACGGGGTTAAGGGTAGACAAAGCATTCTGAATGTTGTGAAAGCTTTGCAGTAGGTTATCTAGCACAGATACCAGGGAAGGGTCAGTTGAGTATAGGTCTATATCGTAATCATGTAGATGAATTAGGGACCAGAACCTTGTGGTTGGTACTCCTTTACCAATAAGCTATGCTTGATCTTACACATACCCAGGTAAAGTTTCCTCATTAATACCAATATTTCTTAGTCTGCTGACGAGAGTGAGTACAGTATCAAAGACCTTGGTTCAGTCAGTAAATATGGCAGCACAATACTGTTTAGGCTAACAAATGTGTTGCGTCATTGTGCCATATAGTGTGCGTTTGATCATCCTCTCCACTAGACGGCGGTGTTGGATTATTTTGTACTTCATAGGAGTTCTCTTTTTTCAACTTGTTGGTGCAGTGACCCCTGGTATTAAACTGACAGGACCGGAATCTAAAAGGTAAAGCTATGTTGTTAAATTGCTAGCTATCTAGACATGAATAGGTAGCTATTTAGCTGTATCCATTGCCGCAAGTGATTTCTTATCAGTTGTTGTCAAAATAAAATTGACATTTGTGTGGGTGGTGTCAATGTAGAATTCCTGTTTTTGTGCAAAATTAGCATTACTCCAGCGTGGTAGAGGTGTAGCTGGCTAGCTAGCTAAACTTGCTGCTTCATGCTTCCACAGTCAGTGTGCAGAGCAAACAATGTATGAAGCTTTTTTCCCCACACATTCACCTCTATATGGAGTAGCTCTATGAGAAATATAGCTGCTGTATTCCTATATTACTTAGTCACTAGTTAGAGTAAGTAAAGACAGAAGTTATATTGATTGTAGCTTTGTTTCTCGTTGCCTAGCTAGCTCAGTAAGGCTATAGTTTTGTTGCAGTTTCCATTTCCCTGCTGGCTTTGTTAGGTAGCTAGCTTTCCCGTTGGGAATTTTCTTACTCATTCCCTATTTTACACACCACCTACAACTAGACCCACCAGTTAAGTTGAGTTGGGACCGGTTTCGAAGAGTTTTCTGTTTCACCAGCAGACCTTTTATGAAAACAAAGAGGACGGTAGCTAACGTGTGGTTGCTCTTGCAGGGTTTATTTTTAAGAGGCAGCATCAATCATGGTGAGTCCTCCGTTGAGTTCTATTTTTATCATTTAAATACATAAATGTTAATTCGTCTGACTACTTTTTTACTATCAAGTCAGCCGATAAGTTACCTGAAATTACACTAACATGAAAGCGTTGTTCTTTAAAGGTTCCAGTCACTGTTTTTGGTAATGACATATTACAAAATCGTATAATTAATAACGTTATTGTTTATTCCAGTCTCGTAGATATGATTCACGGACGACCATCTTTTCACCCGAAGGCAAGTGAGCTGTTAGACCATGTTATTGGTTAACATATCTCACAAAGGTGTCATCTCAGTTAACAGATTGTGTCACAAAAACTGCTGTTAGTAATGCCAACAAACAGCCTGATATGTAAATGTGTTCCTCTCGGGGAAGTGGTACGCAATATCAGATACCACGCACCATAATTACATAATGATTCCGAATAACCAGTTGTGAAGCTGACAGACGCTAAACTCACTGAAGGGATGGCTAAGTTTGTCTGACTGGTAATTGTTGTTGCTATGAACAGGGCGCCTGTACCAGGTAGAATACGCCATGGAGGCCATTGGCCATGCTGGTACGTGCTTAGGGATTCTGGCCAATGACGGCGTGTTGCTGGCAGCAGAGAGGCGGAACATCCACAAGCTGCTGGATGAGGTCTTCTTCTCAGAGAAGATCTACAAACTGAACGAGTGAGTCTGTATTTTTTCTGTCTGCGGTTACCGCCAATTTAGATCAGTCAGGCTCTACTATCTAAACTGCCTTAGGAGTCAAGAGAACGCAAGGTTAAGTCTATTGTAGTTACTATAGTAGAAGAATATTTCAGATCAAATGGCAACAGGTGTTACACGCTAGCAAGCTTATATTTAAAACATTCCTCCTGAGGCAAAAAACGGCCATCGTTCATAACCTGGCACTGAAACAGCGACGAGGTGGTGAGGTTTTGATTTTAGTTAATGATGCCCCCATCATGGCTGCCACCGTTGTCTTTCTGATTAAACCTGTACCTGCTTCCCTGATATCCTTGGTTTTTCCATGAGTTTCTGACACCACCCCTTGACTGACAGTGCTGATAGTGTTTTTAGTGACTGGCCGAGGAGTGCAGCATTGAACCTGTTGCTGAATTGTGCTGTGTTACAGCGACATGGCATGCAGCGTGGCGGGTATAACATCAGACGCCAACGTGCTGACCAATGAGCTGAGGCTAATCGCACAGAGGTAAGGCGGGAGAGCACTGCAGTCATCAGCGATGGTGGTTGTCTTGCAGTTCGGTCGTCATTTGAATTGCACCGCACACATGCCATTTGTGTAGCCCAGGTGTGGTTTACATACGATGCTTGTGATAATTTGACTTGTATATCTTTGTCAGCATGGAGCACAGTGCAGTCTTTTCATCTGTCAGGTGGATACTATTGCATGCAAAGAGGAGATGGTGGTTTGTTTAACTTTGCTAGATATTAAGTGACATGTATTTATCAGGGTGTTTGTTCCATGTCCCACTTGAATGGCTCAAACATAGATTGCAGACTTATTTCTGTTCCTCATGGGTGTCCCAAAAATCATATATCTATTATGACCAGCTCCCCCTGGCTTGAAAACAACTGTTGAGAAATGGCTGAAAGGGGAATAGCTAGCCAAACCTAATTGTGTGTTGTGTGAATGAGCAGAAAAATAAAAAGAAATAAACCCAAAAAGTGGTATGAGGCAGAGCTTCTAATCCAAGGTAACAAAAGTGAAGCTACAGACACTGGGAACCTCCTCACCCGCTCAGAGTCAGAGCTGTGGTTTGTTCTGTTTGGTTTATTTTATTACAAATGATGGCACAAAGGTGACAGTCCGATGTTAGGCTTCAGAGAACTGACGGCAAAGTGGTAACTCCAAAAATACAGTCTTGTCTGTGTCCAAAACAAGATATTGGTTCTAGCCCTGTTTATTGTAAGGTGTATTACTGATTTAATAATAGATAATGACAGCTACATGTGAAATGAGTGATGCTTTATTGTGCAGCCATCAGGTTCATCAGCTGTGGACAGTTACCCTTATGACTGTGTGTCTCACGCAGGTACCTGTTGCAGTACCAGGAGCCAATCCCCTGTGAGCAGCTGGTCACAGCGTTGTGTGACATCAAGCAAGCATACACACAGTTTGGAGGTACAATACAGTAAAATGAAGCTTCCTACTCAGGACTGAGCAATCATTATTTGTTCTATATGTAGCTGACTGTAAGTATGTGTTATATCCCCCATACCACTGACATAAACTTTTAAGCTCCATGTTGCCTTTATGCAGCCACTATCAGAGGGATGAGTGTTGAATGTGGTTGTAGCGTGTAGAATGTGCACTGTTAGTTAGGATGACTGTTTTTCTTGAGTCAAGTGTCTGCAGCACGTAATTGTTTGACATTTGGGGGTCTTAGATAGCATTTTTTTCAATGAGCTTGTGGTTGGAATACACCAGTTGAACCATGATTAGCTAGCCTGCTTTGTCATATGACACAGGTATGATGCCCTTCTGGAGCAAAATATCATTTTTAAACACATGCTCTTCCCCAGCTGATGTTCTAAGTAATTTATAACATAAAAAGTTTGAAATTTCTGTCTCTAGAACTGGTGTTACATTATCGCTGTAAGGTTGAGAAATAATTGTGGTGTTTGTCTCTGCAGGGAAGAGGCCTTTCGGGGTGTCCCTGCTGTACATGGGCTGGGACAAGCACTACGGCTTCCAGCTGTACCAGAGTGACCCCAGTGGAAACTACGGGGGCTGGAAGGCCACCTGCATCGGCAACAACAGCGCAGTAAGGCTACCGTGCTAGGGCTCGTTGGTCTAGGGGTATGATTCTTGCTAAGGGTGCAAGATGTTCCGGGTTCAAATACTGGATGAGACCTTGCTGCATGACATTGAGTTGGCAAATCTTGAATGAAACTGCAAAAGCTTTGCTCGGCCTCTATTCAAAATTGACTGACACTTTGGCAGCAGTGTGGTATAGTGGTACGGGGCTGGGCTCATAACCAAAAAAGGTCGCAGGTTCGCTTCTGGGGCACTGCTGCTGTACCCTTGGGTAAAAAACTTAAGCCAAAATTGTCTCAGTTAAATATCCAGCTGCATAAATGGATAGTTGGAAGTTGTACTGGATAAGAGCATCTGCTAAATGACAATAATGTAATCTAATACTCAGTCTCAATCACAAATAAGACTTTATATTTTCAGCCTGTTCAAGCAGTCATATATCAGCTCTAAAAGGCTAAAGGCCATGGTGTGATTGGAGGTTGAGTGTGTCTTCAATTCTCCTAACTGTTTGTACATCCTGGAATTTATATTTCTAGGTCCGCTTCACTAGCGAAAACTGATTAAAATAAGTAGGAGTACTGTCAGAAATCCTTTGCTGTCATAAGTGATCATTACAAGTAAATGTTAAATTTACATAGGCTTGCTTTCTTTCCATCGTTTTCAGCTTTGATGTGGCAGGGACAGGTCAGAGATCAGCATGTTAGAATCAGTAGAATAAGACTTGCCTTTGTAAAGTTGCTTTAAAAAAAGTCATACCAGGATCATGACAGCAGAGGGCGCTGGTGTACTGTTGATTGTTAGAGGAAACGTTCCTCTTCCTGTAGGGATGCTACACACAATATCTTGATTTATATTGGCATTTTGCTATGGCTTTACTAATTTCTAGTGCTGAAATTGAAGCCTTCCCAGTACTGACTGTGTTCACTGAGCAAAGGGATGATTGATATTCTACTATATGTGTTAGAAAGGGTTAGGTACCACAGGCTTTCACATGCAATGTGAATAAATGAATAGAGTAGTTCAGAAGTGTGCTTTTGCTCATTTTTAATCTGTCATTTGTGCGTCCTTTTTTCAGGCTGCTGTGTCCATGCTGAAGCAGGATTTCAAAGAGGGGGAGATGACGCTGTCGTCTGCGCTGGCCCTGGCCATCAAAGTGCTGAACAAAACCATGGACGTAAGCAAGCTGTCTGCTGAGAAAGGTGAGATTGGCGCACATTCACAGAGAGAGACGGAAGTGCGCAGGTGAGAATTAGTACAAAAAGGGTGAGGTGACCTGGACCTGTCACTCACGCATTGAAGCAGGCCCCATGGAACAGGGGTAATTGCTTTGCTGTGTAAGTGTGAATTGAATGACACCGGAACAACGGAACCAGTGAATGTGCCGCTGACCTGGTCTCCCTGCCAAAATTTTAAAGACATAAAGATAAACTGTTAACGACAGCTACGTAATGCGAACACTAGAATTGATAAAGTTTGAAATTCATCAGTTGCCGTCTCGTTTTTAAATTCATACATAGATTTTTTAAAAAGCCTCATAAGTAAGGAGCCCTAGCACTTTCGTGTTCCTAGACCATACTCAGCAAGCTACACTATTAAGAGAGAGAATATAGACAATATGCTATAGTAAGGAGATGCTTTGGTCAGTTTCTCAGGTTTCATAGTTTAGATGATGTTATTGTTCCACATGACTATACCAAACATGCACATGCATCGTCCCTGTTGCTGGGGACTTTAACATGTCCTGTGGGTAAAGAGAGAGTTCTGGAAGGTGTCTGCGGGGGCCGGTGGGACTGATGTAAGGGGTGCTTGTTGTCTTGGCTGCTCCAGTGGAAATTGCCACGCTGACCCGAGAGAATGGGAAGACCAGGATTAAGGTCCTGAAGCAGAAAGAGGTGGAGGAGCTGATTAAAAAGCACGAAGCGGAGGAGGCCAAGGCTGAGAAAGACAAGAAGGAGAAGGAGCAGAAGGACAAGGACAAGGACAAATAAGCATCCAGCTCTCCCCTTTTTCTAAAGCATCCTTCATGTTTTTTTCTCAACAGCATTTAGTTTTATCTGTCCTTTTTTTCTTATAAAATTTTAAACCAACGTTTCTGTTGTCCTGTGTGTTGCTGTTACCTTTTTACTGCTATGTGTACAGCAAGATAGATCATGTTCATATTGGTCATTCCTGGTCAACTTTTGTATGGGTGCTATGACACCATTGCAGTGTGGGATATTGATTGCGGTGATTAACAGAAAGCTGTTCAGAAGTACTTTTGTGTCAGTGCTTACTTAAGTAGAACCCCTCCAAACCCATAACAGTGCTAGTGTAATTAATGGAAATCAGGTGTATTTCTCCATAAAATCTACTAGCAATGTATTTACATTATTTGAAGAATCACACTAGATTAGCATTTTTGTTGGTCAAATCACTTTTCAGGTCTAGTGGCCACAAATCTTAAAGGGTTTGGCAGAATTAGGATTACTCTAATATCTGACTGCCTTAAGGGCTTTCGACCTGTACCATCAATTCAGCGGAAACAGTGCTTGTGCACAGAGGCGGACTTCTCAGAAATGGTTTTAATTCGGCACCGACCTTGTGCGGGAGTCCGTTATGTAAGGATGGGAAAGATTAAGGTCAGAAGTGGCTCTTTGGTTGTGTCATATTAGCACTGGGGATTTTGGGACGGCACAGTTCTCTGGGTATACGTTTCTGATACCATTCCTGAAACAAGGCAACACGCCATCCAAAGAAACATATCTAGCGTTTGTGCATGCTGAATGACCTTTATAGTGTGGACTCTCTGAGTGGTAGGTTAAAGACTGTGTGTTCAGTTGCAGATACAACACAGAGTTAAATCCTGTTAACGCACTAACAGCAAAACGCTCCATGAGCAAAACAGATGTAGCTGGATTAGAAGACCTATCACGGGACTTTGTGTGCACGCAAAGGTTAACACAGAACGCTTTTTAAATGAACATTTGTGGGTCAGGTTCACTGGCCCTAAGCCCGTTACAGATGCGGACACCTATTTAAAAGCGCTGAAGGTTAAGTAGTAGGACGACAAGGTATTAAAGCACAGCGAGAGGCCAGGTCTTACAGCATGACTCCCAACATAGCATGAAAAATCACCCCTCCCCGGAGTCCTGGCCAGGTGCCAGAAGCACTGCTTCGCTGTCATTGGCTGGATACGCCACACTCCTATCTGGAGATTAGAGGGGTGGGACACTGCGTCAGGGAAACGGCTCCGCAACCATTCACAGTTCAGCCCTCGTTCAACAAAACATCAAAAAGCCTTAACATATATAATATACATTACCATTACATGAGCTCTGGGGCCCTGGAAGCAGAATGAATGTTTTTTTTTTCCTTTTTTTGCAAGTAGAAAATGTTTATTGAGACAGTATGGAATGACTCACACCTTCAGCAAGCTGAACATGAAATCTCAAAAGCAGGTGAACCGATAAGTGTTTGCAGTGGGTTATTTTGGTCTAGCATTTAGTGTTTTGAAGATCTACTAATGCAAAACATAGCTTTTGGTGGAGGCTTTTTAAATGTCACAGACTACGTTTTTAAGACTGGCAGCTGAATTTCACCCATGTGATTTGTGATACTCAAGCAACACAACAACAGAAGTAGAACATCACTTTTATTTGTTTTTTCTAACATACAGAAAATCCCATATATGAGTATGGATTGTCAATTTATGATTAATATTTGTACTTCCCTGTAAACGTAAAACTAAGAACAATCAATCCAAAAAAGAAGCAAAAATAAAACTCTGAGAGGATGAGGAGAAACTAGTAAGAGATTATCACGGCTACTTGGAAAGCTACAGAAACGAAAGCAGCCCCCTACACATGCAAACTAAAGCTTCCAGCAGTTGTACTCTGACAGACAGAACGCAATGCCAAGTATGTGCACAACTTCTGATTTATGGACTTTCCTGTGCTCCTCCGAGTTAAGGTTTCCAATAAGTGAGGAATGTATGTGCATCTAGTTTCCCTGACCTGGCCAGGCGGTCTGGTCTACAAGTGCCACAATTGAATCGGGGGAGAAGGGGAGGGGGGAAGAAGGGGGTGGTGTTTCTTAGAAAGAGCTTGACTGATGTTCAGGATCAACCTGAATGCAGATTTGAAGTGCTAATATTGAAGGAGTAGGGTGTGGGTTGGGTGTAGGGGGGGTGGAGCATTTCTTTGGCAATTCTGTCAGGTGGATAAACACTGCAAAAAGAATGAGAGAACTGGGCACATCTCTGAATGCAATGAACCGAAAGCACGCCCATTCATTCTGCCGGTGTACACCTAAAGTGCTCATGTGTCACCTTCCCTGCTCTCTTCTGTGTGTGTCTGTATGTGTGTATATGTGTATGTGCACGTACGTTGGAGGGGGCATCTGAACATCTCATAAGACTGAGGAGTATAAGTGCCTACACACTTTCGCAGGCACATAAAGGCCCTTATAATATTTACATCTCTGTGGTTATGCATTGAAGCCTGTGAAACAGGGCTTGGTGGGTGCCGCCATTAAAGGGCTTTGGTGGTAAGCTAAAGGACTGTTAAGCTGATGGAAACCCCACTAAAGTGGGTCAAGTCTCATTGACCACAACAGGTCAGTCAGTGTCACGATTTTCTATCACACAGCCAGCTGAACCTTACAAGTGCTTGTCAGTTCGTTAACGACTGCCCCTTTGGTTTTGTAGCTACTGCTTTCCGCGAAAATGGTTATCACAAAATCCACGTGAGCTGCACCTGGCGCCTGACTCACCCGTAACATTCAATCTGGGCATGTTAAAATGTAGTCTGCTGCATACCTTCCTCCACACCCCCCCCGCTAATGAACAAATCAAACTTCAATCAACACTGCAGGCAGTAAATGAGCTTGGATGCACTAAATGCAGTCAGGTGAGTTCATAAGAGGTGCCCAGGGCTATCTGTCCTTTCTACAGCTGTGTAGGAGAACATGATCTTCATACACAGGGAGAACCTGTCGAACCTGACTTTATGCTTCCTTTATCCCTTGGCAGAAGCCCCTTAATCAAATGCTGAATGACAGCCAACCTGAGCTAAAAGATCCCAGCGACATGTACAATTACAATTTTATTTAAATAAAATT